TTTTTCCATCGTGCATATCTGGAAAAACTACTATTTGCTATTAAAAATTTCATGCTCAATAATTTTTCGAAATTTGTTACATAAAAAGCGCCAATTTTGGTTGACATAAGGATAGGAGATCATATCCTTCAGATAATTGAAAATATATTGCGAATATATATTTAAATAGATATGCGAACACGAGGAAAAAATTATATTTATAATATGGTGACACCATCTAGTTGCGGCGAAATTCTCGATTGTAAAAAATTCCAGAAAAATCTACCCAGATAAGACTACATTTCGTAATAATTGACCTGTCGGGGTTTCATCGACACAAAAGTACCACGTAGTTGTGAAAAATTTTATAAAGAATTTTTTTTTTTATGAACTGTACCATAGTTGGCATTAATTACAACAAATAGTCCATATAAATTAAATTTTCACTAAACGTGCACGAGAACATCATCTTTTTATAAAAAAGGTGTCTAAATGGATGTTAGATTAATATAAAGACACCATATTTTTGTGATAAATATCAAGTTAACTATATAGATGGCTTTAATTGCAGCATATTTTGAAAATAAATTAAATTTTCAAAACAGAAACACGTTTAGGTTGGTACAAGGACTTCACGTTCTTGCGAAACCATTAGGGCTCCATCTTCTTATGAACAAAATGGCAAGAAAGCTTAACATAAGATAGTTGGACGCCATCTTCTGGCCAAAAACTAATGCAGTACTATATGTGGCATGAATAGCATAATTCAGTTTTAGGACTGTACTTAGATACATTTTTGAGTGCCTAAATTCTTGGCGAACACAGTCAGCACAAGGTTGGGGGGGTTAGAATATGTATTGAAGATATTAACTGCAAGATGGCCGGTAAATAAGCGCCATCTATAGTTACGTGCATCTACCTGTTCAAAATATAAACTTCCTCAAGAATCATCAATATTTCAAGATCTTTCTTAAATATCATAAAACGCCATCTATAGATCGATTTCAAGGTACTTCTGTAATTAATTGCAAGCCAAAAACCACATGCCATCTATGGCTCAATTCCGAACAATTTCTACCAATTCGGTCTTTGGCCATTTAATGACACTGAAATATAGGACACTCATTTGAATGACCAAAGGATAATCTCCTATTTCCACCGTCCTAATGATGTAAATGATAATTTTTCCTGTTATAAACCAAAAAAAAAAAAAAAAAAAAAAATAATAATAATAATGATGTCCCCAGGCAAAATTTGGAAAATTCTGAAAAATGATTTAAATCGAAAACAATCCTCATTTCTTTTGTCATAGCACAATTGTAGGGCATTGCTTGTGTCCCTGGCACAGCCACAACCTTTAAAGTTGCCTTTTTTTGCACTTCATATAGTTGGGCGTCATCATTTTTGACATATCAAAGCTGGCCAAATGATAACAGAAGCCATAGCCCACAGGGAAAAAGGAAACATTTCGACACACACACACACACAAACAAACAAGAAGAGGATGTAAGCAAAAAAATGGCAACAATAACAACACAAGTGTTAATAGTGAATATTCACCCTCTGCACAATAGAGCCCCCCAACATCAACACCACCACAACATCATCACAAGTGGGTGTAAATAATTGTAGTCGACTTTCCATGGCATTATGGAAAACATTTTCCTTTTGGCATTTGTTAAGGTGCTGGCATCAGGATTATCTTTTTTTTTCGTTTCTGCTGCTGCAACAATGATTAATGAATGACATGTAGGTGGCACACAGGGTTTTATAATGTCTATTCATGGTAGTTATTTACATTTCAATACATGTATTTGTATGTATTCTAAATACACCCATGCATAGGTATTTATCTTAATTCGGGGTCTTTGTTGTCCTGCTAACACAACAGCAGCAGCATTCATGGCAAAATAATAATGCCATTGTCGTCTCTATTTTGAGTGACAAATCTCGTGGCGCCACATGACCACCACCCCCCGCCCCGCCCCGGAGAACACATGCGTGAAAGAGCAGGTGTGTCAAAGAAAAGGAAAATTGCTTGACGAAACGAAACGACAAAAAAATATAATTAACTTTCATAATAGTCCACATGGCTGGATTCACACAAACTATAATCAATAACTGTCAGTTAAAAAGCTTAGGGGGGGATGAGAAAGATATAATTTTCTGCGAGAGAAATAAGCGACAAGATAATAAAATAAAGAAATATTGGCAAGAGAAGAAATTAAGGAAAATTTATTAGAGCCCAGTGTAATTAAAGTGATACAGTAAATAACTCAATTTCTCACGGACAGAATAAAAGATTTTTTATAGAAACGCAATTCAACCGGATATGTGTGTGGAAACCGTCTTCTATGGAATAAATTGCAATTTTCATCCCAATCGTTTGGAAAATAAGGAAAACCCCTCGCAATCACTTAGACTAGGGGGTATCTTCATATATTAATTTTTTTTTCAAACTATCACCCTATATTTCAAAGAACGTGGAAGAGAGGGATCTTGCCCGCTCTATTTAGGTTACATTTTTCAAGAAGGTTACATTTTTCGAAACAGATCCACGTATCGGCGAGGCTTTGTCATCGTCTAAATCAACGTTAATAAATATTAGGACGCCATCTTCCTTTCAAGAAAGATCAATTACACTATAGATGTTGTTAATTTGGACATATAATACAAATATGTTGTGATGGGTACGACGACATCATAACCTTGCGAAACTTTTGATAGAGATAGATTCACATTTCTGTATATAAGAGGGCAGTATCTACCTTTGACAAAGTTGTATAAATGAACGTTAAATACTCCTAGATATAAGGACACAATCTCTCTGCGAAACTTAGCAACTTTGTGGAGGTTGATCTGGGATACTATTTCCTTTGGACCTATTTGTTTGGAAATATTGTAAACCATTCCCTGGAGAAAAATTAGTCATTATAAATGAGCTATTTAATAGATGGATAGATAGTTAAATGGGAGCGCCATCTACATGTGAAACAATTACCAATTAAGTTTCTCGTTTGATAGATATGAGGACTTCATTCCTTTTTGAAAAAAATTGTCAATATAGGAATAAATGTCAAGGTAGATGCACGTTTTGTAGATATGAGGGCATTATCTATCAGCGATCCAAAGATAGAAGCATATATTTAAGACGCCATCTACCTGTAAAAAAGTTGCACCATCTACTCGTAAAAAACTACCATGTTACATGGGCGCTTTGCATAATGACGCAATTTTCTTGAGAAAACATTGTCAGAATAGATTTTTAATATTAGTGCAGCAGCACCCTGTAAAAAAATTCCGATTTTGAAAATATATATTGCAATTGACGAATGTAGAAAAGGCAATTAGATAGAAGCATATATGAGGACGCCATGTACCTGTAAAAAAGTTGCTAAGATCCAGGGGCACATAACACGTTTTAGTCGGCATGAGGACGCCATTTTCTTGAGACTTTGTCAGAATAGATCATAGATATGAGTGCAGCATCATTATAAATTTCCGTTTTTGAAGATATAAGCAAATTGACGAATGTGAAAAAAGGCAGATATGACGGCGCCATCTTCCTGCAAAAAAGTTGTCGAGATAACTCCATACTTTGTTAACTATTAATCATATCATATACTTGCGAAAAACGATGGCGCCATCTACTTTTAAGAAGGTTGTCACGATATAAGGCACCATAAAAACTTGTCTAGATAGACGAACTGTAGATAGTAGGACACCATATTCTTGTCAAAAATAGAAATTGTAGTATAGATGGCGTGAGTAACATTACATAATAAAAATAATTATAATTCAGAGCAAAATCAGTTTTTGGTAGGTACAATAACTACATCTCCTTAAGAAGCTATTTTCCAAGACAGATCAACGTTTCGAGAATATAAAAAATACTCAAGACAAATGAACATTAGATAGCTACGGCAACGCCATCTGCTTGTGAGAAGATGTAATCTACATATGTTGAAAATTAATTGACTGACACATGGTTTGCATTTTATGAGGATTTTGTTATTCAAAATTTTGACCCTTTGCTGGGGAGGTACCAGAAGGAGTGGTCTGCTATACTCCATCATTACACCAGACTTCGTAATGAACGAAATAGCGGGCACATGTAGTTTTACATATGAAAACGTAAATCTATCTCGACAAAATCTTAAATCCAGAGGGCGTGCTAATATTTTACGTAATAGGTGCTTCTTTTTACAATTTTTCTCAAAACAAATTACGTTTTGATCTAGTATCTACTTATTGAGTATACGACCCGATTTTTTTTCAACGAAGATGAAGCCCTTTATATCAACCAAACAAGAGTTTATTTTTATAAAATTTTCCATGGAATTGGCGTGCATGTGGATCAGTCCTGAAAGGAAACATTTTTTTGAAAGAAGATGGCGCTTGAGTATACCTCCCGATTTTTTTCAAAGTAGATGGAGCCTACCAAACATGAGTCTATTTTTATAAAATTTTCCATGAAATTGGCGTCCTTAAAACTGGTCCACAATGTGGATCCGTCCTAAAAAGAAACATTTTTTGAATGAAGATGACGCCATCATCTCCGCGTTAACATTTGTTCAAAAAAACATGGTATCTTCAATCTTATTGACTGAAATTTTGACCATTTTTTATAACTAGTTGTAGGTGATGTCATATTTACCGAACAATTTGCTTCGCACATAGATGACGCCCTTATATATCAAATATAACTCTATATCAACCATTTTTCATATTTATATGGCGTTCTCGTTTCTAAAATATCACACTCTATTAATCATAGAATTGAGTCTCCATATCAACTATAATATGAAACTAACTCACTTCATCCGTACTAAATTTTCCTGCAGAAAATACAACTTAGCAAGGCTAATTTTAAGTTTTTCAATGTAGAACTCAATTCAGCGGGGCTGAATGAAGTTTTTTGATCTGAAAATGAAATTCCACAGACTGAATTAAAGTTTTCATAAATGTCCTTTAAAATTGTTTGACATCACGCAAAAATTTCATAAATTCTCCCCCAAATTTAATGCAAACAAATTGTCAATAAGCATAACTCTCAGCTCTAATGAAAACAGCTTCAAAAAGCCAATTAAGGTTCACAGCATCGTAATACAAATGTAGCGGGGAAATTGTAATATTTGATTGCCTGTGGCCAAAACAATTTGTGAACAATAGAACTTGAAGAGATTTTTTCCAAGCCTCAATAAGTCAACTTACCATTTAGTTATGGCTTCTCCAATTCAACAAATCAATTGGGGTCAAGAGAATGAATGGATGGCTGAAAGAAACAAACAGCTGGCAAACAAACTTGGCCAACAACCAATCATCAAACAGGCAACAAACGAACCGCGAACTGTAAAGAAAAAGAAAAAAAAAAACGGAAAATAAAAATATTATCCAATTAGTTTGTCACAGCAACGGGAAGGAGAAGGGTAGGGGAGAAAAGGACATTTTAGCAAGTTTTATGTGTAGGTAAATAAAGGTCCTGCCACTTCTATCTCTCTCTTTCTCTCTAACCACGAATATGGACAGCCATTCGCCATGTCCTGTTATGAAATCAATTAAAGTTAATTGATTATAAAATGTCTCTATTTAAACTTTCTCCCTTCATTTGAGGAGACTTAGCGCACACCAACACAGATGCATACACACATACATTCATATATTTGTTCTCCAAAGCCCAGTTAAAGAGAATATTATTTTTTTTTACTTGTCCACGGCCATGATTCATTTCTATCGTTTAGTCCGGACAAAAGACTCAACCGAACGTGACAAAAATTAATTTTTGCCCGCCACATGGGGAAACTCTACAACATTTCCCATAACAAATGACAGGACTAGTCAAACGATGGGTTGAAAGGGAATTGAAAAAGAGAAAAACAAAAAACAAAAAGTACGTTTAAATGGAAACGATGAATTGTCCAACGACTCAAATGAAATGAAACGTTAAAGGCTGCTCGCCATTGCTGGCCATACAAAAATGCAAGGCCATTGTTTAACCCTAAGGTATTACGGAGGGGCTTAAAGCGGATTAATATTTCTACACAAGAAACAAAATTCTGAACACAGATTGAATTTTCCATGGGAAAATTTTCAATTCTAGACTTTCCATAGGAAAATTTCAATTCAGGGGGGTTGAACGAGATTTTCCCATAAAAAAAATTTTAATTCAGCCCGGCTGAATGGGATTTTCCCATAGGAAAATTTCAATTCAGCCCGGGCTGAATGGGATTTTCCCATAGGAAAATTTCAATTCAGCCCGGGCTGAATGGGATTTTCCCATAGGAAAATTTCAATTCAGCCCGGGCTGAATGGGATTTTCCCATAGGAAAATTTCAATTCAGCCCGGGCTGAATGGGATTTTCCCATAGGAAAATTTCAATTCAGCCCGGGCTGAATGGGATTTTCCCATAGGAAAATTTCAATTCAGCCCGGGCTGAATGGGATTTTCCCATAGGAAAATTTCAATTCAGCCCGGGCTGAATGGGATTTTCCCATAGGAAAATTTCAATTCAGCCCGGGCTGAATGGGATTTTCCCATAGGAAAATTTCAATTCAGCCCGGGCTGAATGGGATTTTCCCTTAGGAAAATTTCAATACAGCCCGGGCTGAATGGGATTTTCCTATAGGAAAATTTCAATTCAGCCCTGGCTGAATGGGATTTTCCCATAGGAAAATTTCAATTTAGCCCTGGCTGAATGGGATTTTCTCATAGGAAAATTTCAATTAGCCCGCGCTGAGTGGGATTTTCCCATAGAAAAATTTCAATTCAGCCCGGGCTGAATTTGATTTTCCAATAGGAAATTGTTATCCATCCATTCGTTCTAAGGGTTAAAAATGGCTAATAAATGCATATACCCATTGAATGCTGCTGGGAGATGAACGGCAAGCATAAATCCACTGGCTGTTTTCGTTTTTGCGCTTTCATAAAACTAATAAACACTCAGTCAAGCGGACTGCACAGAAAAAGAGAAAAAAAAAACGCCATGACTCTATGAACTTTGAACAACACAACGAATATCCTGGCATTGGATGTAACAGGGCTAGTAGGTAGTGATAACTGATTGTCATGTGCGAGCTGATGATGGCTTTGCCAAATCCCCACAAACCCCCCACATATAACCACCACAACACACAAGCGTTTTTCTCCCATGTCCTGTAATACCACCAGTTGACATATTGTTGTCTCCCACTTGGCGTCTCTCTCTTTTTGCCTTCGTCTTTTTTTGCCCAACAATAAGCCAGCAAATAATATGGACATGTTTAATGGCAACAATGGCCAAGTTGTGATAAAACTCTCTCATAGATGACATTCTGAAATATTGGCCACCACCAAAGGAGAAGATGGAGGAGGAGGTAGGATGAAAATAGGAAATTTATTAAACAAAAACCATTAAAACCTAAGCGATGTCAGAGGATGGAAACTTCCTCTGTTTCCGGAGCAACACCTGGGCCTGGCGTGCTTGGGTTAATTTCTTAATTAACCCTCAAAATATGGAGACAAATGGGAGCAATAAACGGAAATTGGTAAACAAGTGTTACAGCCGTTGCAGAATTCCTTGGGATCTAATTAATTTAGATAAGTTTTGTTGTGGGAGGAGGTTCAGGAAAAGTTTATTTATTAGTTGTTGATTCAATTAGTTTTGTTCCCTCTCACAAGAAAAATAAGGTATTGGGAGAGATGCTAGGAAAGTTCCCACAGCTTGGATGGGGATATAGATTTTGCAGCAAATGTTATGGAAATGGAAATTTTTTTTTAGGACTGATTAAAGTTTAGATATTTGTTTATTACTGATATTGAGTGAAAGATAGGAATATTAATTGAAATGAGAGCCTAGAAATTATTAGTTTTCATTTTTTTTTTTTTTGGAAAATGTTAATTTATTTGGTATTTAAAGTATATTTAATATAACCAAGTTTTCATCCAGAATATTCCAGCTCGATAGCTTGATTTGGTCACAGGGTCACAATTTATATGATGAAGTCTAAATAAAAAATACAAAATACTAAAAGCTTGGTTTATGAAGAAGAATTCTTATGTGTGTGTGTGAATGTGTGCAGATATGTCCTACTAGTACTATGTACTACTACCTCTATGGAAATTTAGGAAAACCTTGAAAAAATATTCAATAATTTTTTCTAGTAAGTTCTTGAAAAAAAAAACACGGAAGTCATAAAAATACTCATTATAGCCAGAAAGTTCTTAAAATAATTGTATAAGTTTCAGACTGACCTGGTAAGAGGTTTTTTAAAAATACAAAATTTTGAAGGAAAGTCCCTTAAAAAAATTTCTAGAATGGCAAGGATTTTTTCTAGGAAGTTCTGGAAAAAAACACGATGTTCCATAGTCTATTTTTTAAGACTTTGAGAAAATATTCTTAAAACCACTTGATTTTTTATGTAGTTCCTGAAAAAATCAGAATTTTTTGAAATAATATTCCTATCCAAGAGACATATTTATCCCAAGAAGACCTTGCAAATACATTCATAGAAATGTTTCTATGAAAAAATATGCCCGAATTTTTCTAGCAAGTTCTTAAATAATTCTTAAAAAAGAATCAAGGAAATACCCGATTTTGGGTCGGGTGGTCTTAAAACAGTTCTCTACAAATTCCAGAATTTGCTTCAGATAGACCCAGTAAAAATATTTGATTTTTAACTAAGAATTTTTTTAAAATATACGCAATTTTTGATAGCAATTGAATGTTTTTTCTAGGAAGTTCTTGAAAAAAAAAAAAAAAATACAAAGCAGTCATAAAAATACAAACATTTTTTGCCAGGAGTTCTGCTTATTTTTTTTGATACCCTCCACCATACATAGTAAAATTTTAAGACGATTTAGTCCGTCCGTCCGTTTGTTGTAATCACGCTAGAGTCAAAACGAATAAAGATAGGAAGCTAAAATTTGCACAGATCTGTTTTTTGTCCGCAGGCAGGTCAAGTTCGAAGATGGGCTATATCGGTCCACGATACCTATATTCTGTATTTTTTAAGATTTTAACAGTATCTTTAATGGATTGAATTTTTTTGAAAATTTCCTAATTCGTCCGAAATGGCGGAGGGTATTCAAAGTTCAGCACGGCCGAACTTACTGCTTTTTTATTTGTTAATATAGACAATACTTGTCGAAGAATACTTTGAGTAATATATTCTTAAAGTCTCTTGGTTTTTATGTAGTCCTTGAAAAACAAACAGTATTTTTCTATGGAATTCCTTGAAAAAAATATCCCTATCTAAGACACATGCTTTACCCAAGAAGACCTTGTAAGTACATTCTGAGGAATCCATGATTGTTGATAGAAAGTTCGTAAAAACTTCATAATTTTTGTCAGTAAGTCCATGAATTATATTTTAAAAAAATCCTAAAGAAAGACCTAAAAATTCACGATTTTTGGTATGAGTAACCTTGGATATAATTTCCTAAAAAATCGGCAAATTTTTATCAAGGAGCCCATGCAAAAGTTTTATGAATGTCCACAACAACCTTATAAAAATTATCGTAAAAATCCACTAGTTAAAAAAATCCACTAGTTATACAATCCAGAATCTGCTAAGGAACTCCTGAACCATCCATGATTATTGCTCAGGAACACCTTTGAAAGTGTTCACGAAATGAGAGTTCTAAAAAAAAAACATGCACGATTTCGGGACAGAAACTCCTTCACAAAGCATCTAACACAGCTAAAACTTAATTTAAATGGGACTGTAGCAAGTCAAAATATTCTTGAAAATTATTTGCCACAAAATTCTACTATAGATTCTAGAAGAAGTCAAGCCAAATCTTAAGTAAACGCCAGGAATTCATATACAATAAAATATATATTTTAGGGTTGAAATTTTCATTAAAAGGTCACGGGTGTGCAGCAAAGCCGTGGAGGCCATAAATGCCCTTGTTAAAATAATGGGTTTTCTAAAAACAATTATTAAAAAAAAGTAATAGTATTAACCAGTAAAGAAAGTCTTAAAGTCGGGCGGGGCCGACTTTATGATACCCTACACCACTTTGCTAATTTAGTAGAGCTCCACATAACAATTAAAAGTTTTTATGGGAGAATTAAATTATACAAGTTATGAATAAAATTATAATTTAAAATTCAAAGGACTAAATATGTCAAAGCATTTGAATATTTTAAATTGGGACATGTAATACCTATTTGGTGCACAATTAATTTGAAATCGTATAAAGATATATATGGGAGCTATATCCAAATCTGAACCGATCTCGATAAAATTTGGCAAAGACATTTCTGAGCTGTATTTGATATATTTCCCTGAATATTGTTGTTGCGGAGTGCATATTACGGTTGTGGGTAACAAATATAACAAATCGGATGAACAATATATATGGGAGCT